CGTGACGCAATAGAGATTACCCGTCGCTTGTCGCATGCGATCACTACCGTGCGAGTACTAAAGTACCTCGTGATCGTCGTCTAACGGGAATTAATCGCGTTGTCGTAGTTAACTTCATTCAGATTTGTTTTTATTCCTGCAATCTAGAACTCTAGACTGCATTAGAAACTCTCTTTCTCGCTTTTGTCAAATATTAAACATATATCTGTCTCACTTTAAGTTTCAAAAGTGTATACTAGTAGTATAGTCACAGAAAATAGATCTTTTGTTTTCGCAAGTGAATTTTATGTGTGTGCCATAAAGAAGTCACGACGAGATGAGGAAATGGCGGCTCAGAATGGCATCGGGCAACGGCGGAGTCTACATAAAGGGTAAGTTATTCGATGGTTATTTATTGTTTTATTGTCCAATGAATTGATCGTTTTTCACTGCGCATCATTAGATTCGTTACTTGAAATCCCGAAAAATTGTGTATTTAATACATATCATTCGTATTCTCAGCGTTTCTTTTCTTGAAATATTAGAAACGTCTGGTTAAATATAGTTTACATTTTTTTTCTGAAAATGTTTGCTTTGGCATCTACAAAATAATTTTTGTGCGTTCTCGTTTTTTGTATATCTTTTGTTTTCCGGAAATTTACTTTAGGACACGAAAAATCTATCGTGTGTAATAAAGATGTGAAAAACTATCATATAATAAGAGTTAATCATATATTATCATATATTAAGAGTTAATATAAATAAGATAGATATATGATGTTTTCCATCAAAAGACACGCAGAGTAACACAGTGATTATTTTATTTTTGTTTTAACAGTAACAAACAATAAGTATATAATAATTCATTGCGTTACATCTGTATTTCTAGATGGAAATTCATAAAATTCAAATGTTAGAAAGAAAGAAAGCTGAAATTTTAAATATAAAAAGTGTAAGCATCGCGAATAAATCTATTGTACATCATTAACTTTATATCTCTAATTATATATATAAATATATATAAT